CTTAGTGCACGGTCCCCTGGTCCCCTCCACCACTGCACCACTCTCCACCGCATTCAACACCTCCTCTGACAGGCCTTTCTCGTACAAACGGGTGAACCGCAGAGGCAAGCGCCTACCCTGCTGGTTCAGATGCGATTCCAATGCTCCCGCTGTGAAGGGTGGCAGGCTGGGAAGGAGCGACCTGGTGCAGAGCGGTGAAGAGAGGTGCAGAGAAGTGGGGAGGGGTGCAAAAAGGTGCAAGCACCAGGAGAGGACGCATGGGGAGTTTGTGGAGGAGAGCTAGGCTCGACATTTCAACGCTTTCGCTGTAGAAGGGGAGCAGACGCCTTGGGAGGACTGAGCTGGCGAAAGGGGAGCAGGTGACTTTTGAGTCGAATCAAAAGTCACCTCGCTTTCGCTGTAGAAGGCAGCATTTTAGGAAGGGCTGAGCTGGGCGAAAGGGGAGCAGACGCCTTGGGAGAAAATTGCACCACCCACCTACCCCGGAGATTCCTGAGGTGGTTTGATCAGAATCTTTTCCAATTATATACACACGGGTGACGTCATCACATGCCGCCCCGCCCGCCCTGGCACAAAGGGAATTGAGGCAAAACGAAAATCCCTCCGAATCCCTCCGGGCCCCCGAAAATTCCCGGCTGACTAGGCCAAAAAACCCTCCGAAACCCGCGGGTTCAATGTCGTATTCTTATGCCAATATATATGTCAGCCGCACCGTTGCAATTTCGAGGACATTTGTCGAACAGTGCTCGACGGACATTGGCCAATCGCCGTCGAGCACCGTGCACCCCCGACAACACTAGTTACACCCGGTGGCATGTCGCCAGGGAATCGCCTACACGCTGGCGCTGACGGTCGACGTTTGCGAAATACCGACGGTCGCAATCGACGGAGACGTCAACTGCGGCCGACCTGTCGCCTCGTCGGTCGAGCGAACTGTCGCTGTCGGATGGGCGACGGGTTACGTCTGTCGCAGTCAAACGTTCACGTCAACTGCTGACTGCCACGTCAAATGTCTCAGTCTCCACGGGGAGCAACATCAGCCCAAGGTCACTGTATAAACCTGAATTCATAGTAGAAGCACCACAATTTTCTCAGCAGGCCAGGATTTAGGGAGAAATGGTAGCTTTCGGTGGGCACTGATGGAGACCGATCCGTCGACGACAGCGCCTTCCCGACAGGCGGACGTAGGACGGATACCTGTCGAATTGGAGTCAATCTCGACACCACCCCCTTCGTCGTCTGGAGCCAGGCCGGTTTCTTCCGCGCCCCCTTCGACGACGCGTGCCATACCGGAGGTGGTAGCGCCCACCTCGACGTCGCGAGCCATACCGGTAGTAATACAGCCGGTTGTTACGGACCAGCGTTCGACGGGTATTCCGGTCACTGTTGAAGTGGGTGGTGCACAGACCGAATTCCCTTCGACAGGTCAATCCATACCTGTTGTCATAGAACCCATCTCGACAACAAACGCCCCCTTTACACACGAGGCTCCAGCTCACCGTGCACCATCGTCGACAGCCCACCGCTCGACGGAACCTTCAGCTGGTGCACCGACCTCGACATGTGGGCGACGTAGGAGAGCGAGGGCTGTTCCGCCTGAGGTTCTCCAACCACCCCCTGCCGGCACATCCGCTTCTCGAGCCGCCCCCGCCGCTCCTAGGCGCACTTTGACGAGACCAAGCAGAGAGGACTTAGCCAGGAACGTCCATGAAGCGACGGACGATGACGATGTTCGGACGGGAGAACAGCAGGAGGCGGACGATGTCGAACCGCCGGACCCTCTGCGGCCTGCTGCGGCAAATATATCAGAGGAGGATGCCGCGCACATTCTCGGCGACCAACCGGGTGCAAACAATCCGTACTTGGTGACCGGAACACTTAAAAGCAGGATTCTCCGGTGTGAGGTTCCGCTGCTGGGAGTTGACCAGGATTCCACACGGCCGAACTATGTCTCTGGAAGCATGCACTACAAAGCTTGGGCCTGTAAAATTCTGGCACCCGAGAGAAGCAACGGAGTGCCTAAAGAGGAGCAAGTGATCTACGAGGACGAGATCGGTAGGGAGATCGGCGACGATATGGGGCCGAGATGAAGGGAGGTGCTGCGTAACGAGGAGCACCTGCATGGGCCGAGAATAACGAAGTGGCGCTTGCACGCGTACGTCGAATACATGTCGACTGAAACCGACCAACAGGCGGCTTCGTTGGATACAGGCCGGACCAGAGTCGCTGGAAGGAAGGCAAAAAAAAGCACCCCTCCGATGATGCTGGCGCGCCTTACTTCGCTGACGTGCTTCTGCAGAGTAGAGGCCATACTCTTCGACAAGCCACTAACGAAACCCTTGGACGACATCACCGAGGCCCGGCAGCTTCTTGCGGTCAAGCTGCGGCAGCTGCACGACTTTCAGTTCGAGTAAGTAGGCTGCCATACACCGGACTCTAAAACTTTTCACTCAAATTCTCACCCAAGTACTCGCTGTATCTGCCCACTCAATGCAGGCAGTGCGTCGATCCACACCGGGGCTCGCTCGACGATGTTTACACGGAGGAGCAGTTCCGCATTCTCGTTTCAGACATCCTGCCGTACTGGGCCAAGGAGTACTTTCGGGTGTCGATGAGTTACCCCAGTCAGTCGATGTGGAGGATCTTGGCCGTGAGGGTGATGATCCTGATGGCGCATCACATGCTGGGCAGGGGGATAAGCATCTGCGAGATCCGCTACTGCAATATGTTCACTCACGTCCTTCCGCCCATCACGAACAGCAAGGGGGAATCGTCTATCCACGTTCTCGTGGTCGCCTATCGCAACTCGAAGACCATCAAAGACAACAAGCTCGGCCACCTGTACCCGACTCGACACATGGACTTCCGGCAGTGCGGCTTCGGAGCAGTGTTCATGTGGATATATTTCATTTTCGACCTTGTGCCGCTCCACTACAACAACGATAAGATAGTGCCCCCCTTGGATTTCAGCAACCCAGAAAAATGGTCAAAGAAGCACCTGTTCTTCGCCCTCTTCGACAAAGACAAGACCGAGTTGCGGTACGCGACTCATGCCAAATGGGTTACCTGGGCGATGAAAAGCGCGGAGTGGATCCTGTCGAAAGTCACACATATCTTTCGACGGTCTGCGGCACAGATCCTCGCCGACAAAAACTGTGAACTCGACAACATCGCGCAGCTGGGTCAATGGGACATGAACGAGATGCGCAGGTCATACGTCACAGGCATCCCGCGCGGGGCCATCCAGCTGCAAGCGGGTTTCACGATGGAATCGGGTGACTATTACCTTGGAAGATCGAAGAGCGAAGTACCCGCGAAGGTCCTGAAGGCTATCGAGGAGCACATATTTCCAAAGGCGGAGCAGTGGCTCGACGAGGTATGGATGCGTCGAGCGCTTAGCGTGATCATCGAATGCAAGTTTTGCCCGTCTATCTCTCAATGTCACCACGTTTGTTCTTGTTTAGGCGATGGAATGGAACAACGAGCAGGACAAGGAGCATATGTTCTTCGCAGCGAAAAGTTTCTTGAAGGCCCTGCAAGCCGCCCGAATGCCCATCGCCGAGGATCTTGCGATGTACTACGTCCATTGTGACGACCACCCCTTCGACGGAGTGACTGTTTGCGACTGCGAGCGTCACCCTTATGTACAGATGTCCGGTTTGTGCAAGGACATGGATTTCCAAAAATGGGCGCTTGACGTGTACCTGCTCGACAATTACGGCATCGAGATGCGGACCAACCCCACGCTGTCGAGAGCTTCGGTAAGATGGCCCTTCTAATTCTTTATCCGAACAGATTGCATCAGCCCACTTACCTACCGCTCGTGATCTTGTGCGCAGGACGCATCCTTTCAACTCAACACCAAGCACCTCATCACGCAACTTCGGGCAGAGGTCAACTTACACAAGGAGGAGGGTGGGAAAAAAGAAATCAAGATCAAGGGCCTCGAGCAGAAGGTCGAGTCATAAGAGCGGGAGAAGGGCGCGATGCAAGCGGAGTTGGAGGCGAAGGCAGAAGCACTCGCGCTATTGCAGAAAGCGTTCGACGCACTGAAGATTACCGCCGCGACAACCGCAGCTGCGAGTGTGGGGGGGAGCGAGAGTGTGCCGCAGACGGCGACCGAAGAAACCACCCCGCCACCACAGCAACCCCCTCAATCAACGCCCACTCAACAGAGCAAGGGCAGCCAGCTCGACCAAGCATTCTTCGACGCAGTGGTGTGGCCGTGGTGCAATTGCGAGACCGTGCGGCAGGCGTGGTCGTACTGGGACGGGCCAAGCCCGCTGAACAACGGACACAGTCTTCGACACGCTTACAGGAGGGGTTTCGCCGTCAAGTTCAGCAAGTTCACTCCGACTCCTCCCACCGTTCCCCCCGTTGCGGTGGACCAGCCAAAAGAAAAGCCACCGGCCCCAAAAGCTGTCGAGTCGAAATTGCGGAAGATGGAGGTTGTCATGAGGGCCGTCGAGATATTCAGGGTCGACGACAGCAGCGCGGCTACGTCGACGATCATTGATAAGCTTGACTCAATAGTCACGAACTACCCGATCAACATGCTGGCTGAAGGGCTCGTTCTCAAAGAGGATTTGGGGAAGCAGCTCACGAAGAAGCGCAAAGTTGAGACAGCAGAAGACAACCGGAAGGACAAAGATCGCCTCAGGATCACGCGGGAGCTCATTCGCGTCGAGCTTCGAACCACGAAATGGGCCGAGAACGTGTTCAAAGATAGATGGAAAGAGTTCATGAAAACATTGGGCAAGAGCCCAAGTTCGACAGGCAATTGTGACAAGGGGGGAAACTAGAGTAGGGTGTTCTTTCAGAGATTGCATGGCAGGTTCTCATTACTGACCGACCATCTCGCCTGTATGAACCTTCTAAGCATTATTGCAAACGGAAAGTCAAGATCCATGCAACATGTACATGCTGTCGATTAAACTTTGGAAACAACAAACACAACTTTCGAGAATAGCAAACACCCCCACGCAAAGTGCCCGCCTAGACTACTCCCCTTGCCCGCTCGTTTCCGTCTCAGCTGCATCCTCGACGCCCTGCTTTGCCTTGCTCTTTTCTTCTGGCATAGCCAGGCTGCCATAGCCCGCGTCCTCCAGCAAGCGGGCAGCAGCTCGACAGCAGCACCATTGCGTACAGACCTGTGCTGCCACGCGCAGCATCTGCAGCAATATGGCGTCCGTTGATCCGAGACCTTCGACAGCCGACGAATACAGGTGATCGGGCCACTGCTTCGCCGGGAACGTCTTGCCGACGTGCAAAAGCATGGACACGAGTGCGGACATGGCAGCCACACAAGCCTTCTTTGCAGTCTTCGGGGCGTAGATCGCCGCGTTCGCGGCAGCTAGGGCATCCTTCTTAATATCCTCCCTCGACAACTTCCTGCAGGCCGCCCACAAGCTCGCCACAGTTGCTGCGATGGCCATCATGTGCGGTGTCGCCGCCATGCCCTTCAGGACCGGGTAAATCAGATTCCCGTGCTTCAGGCCAAGCGTCGCGACCTTACCAATTGCCACGCACAGCGCGATTCCCCTCTCGGTTCCAGCTTTCACTTCCTTTTTTGCCGTCGCCAATAGCGACAGGTAACTGCACATCGCAAGAAATGCGTTAGTCAAGAGGCCAGAATTCGACCGACAGCACATTCACCGCAAAACAGCAAGTGTTCGACAAATCACCAAAACAGCAGGAATTCGACAGCAGAGTCTAGCAACATGACTTCGACAGGACTTACTTGTCGAAACGACATTCCCCTTGTTCTTGCGCCACGCTCCAAACGCCGGTTGGCATTTTTGCGGCCACATCGAGGTAGACCTTCCAGTCCTCCTCATCCTGCGCCGTGTACCCTTCGTACTCCGTAAGGACAACGTCGGGGAAGTACACGCGCCAGCAGACGGCCGTACAGAACTTCTTGTCCTTCTCTGTTTCAAAAGTGCCAAGGAACCGCTTCCTCCCGCCGACGGTCTGCTCGGAAACCAGCTTCCCCTTCCACAACCCGAAACCCGGTCCTTTGAAGGGACGTTTGCAGCCTCTCGTCTTGCCTTGGTCGTCCGGTCGAGGAGGTGGGGGGTGACCCGTGACCCTGGCCTTCTTCGCCTTTTCCTGTCGAGCAGCAACGACAATAGAGGTCTTCTCGACAGGCGCCTGACCAGGGACGCTGGCCAGCTCCACCACGTCAAGGCTCTCTGACGCGTGTGCAGCGCGCTTCGACGACTTCGTCGCAGCCGGCCTCTTCTTCGACGTTGAAGGGGAGCCCGGATCGCTAAGGCAAACGTTGCCTAGGGACGGAGCAGCGGCGACAGGAGCAACTGGAGGGGTTGAGGAAGACGCCCAATTTCCCACAAGCCCGACAGCAAGGCCAGCACCACCGCCGTGCGCAGCTGATGCCGCTTTAGTCTTCGACAGCAACCCAGCGCTTGCTTCTCCCGCTCCTTTCCCCGCACCGCCGCCTGACGGGGTAGAGGCACCTCGCATTCCTAGGGCTCTGTTCCCGGTCGAGGCGACGTGCTCGTTCGGGGCACCAATTTTCTCCCCCGCGACCACTCCTTTCCCACCCGTTTTCCCCAGGCCTTGCAGCATGTCCCGCATCGAAGCAAACGCATCAGGTGGATCGATCGGAGCCGCTACGGAGGTCTTCGGGAGGGCTGACTGGTCGAGTACGATGACTTCGGGGACGGGCTTGGCGACGGGATGACGGCCACACGCCGGTGGGGATCCAACCGGGCTGCCGACATGTCCTCCCACCGAAGAAGACGGAGGAACCGACCGCTCGTGACCTCGAGGCTCAGCCCCGCTGCGAACCCCTCCCACACCCTCCTGACGCGACCTCGTCGACGGGCCCGCCGAGCACTGAAAACCTCTCGCCATCGCTTTGGTGAGGACTTCCAACCTCCTTGCTTCGGCTTCATGGTAGCCTTCCCTCACAATGTCCTTCAGCTCCTTCATGGTCTCGGGTGGGAGGGTGGAGCAAAACATGTCCTCCATGATGGCTTTCTCGAAACCCTTCAGCACAGCAGCAACCAGCCGCTCCTCGACCTGCTTGAGCTGCTTCTCGACGGCATCCTCGCTCGCTTTTGTGATGGCGGCTGCCACCCCCTCGATGATCTTCCCGCTCATCTCGTCGATCTTCGCCCGCGCCCCTTCCAACAGGTTCCTCTCCGCCGTGACACCCTTCACAGCCTCGGCGCACTGCGACAGTGCGCTCTTCGACGACTCCGAAATCGTATTCCACGCCGTCCGAAAATCCGCAGCAAGCCTGTTGAATACTCCGGCTTGCTCAGTGTGTTTCGCAAATACATCGGCGATGAGCTGCTTCTGCGACCCCTCGACCTTCTCGACCCTCTGCAGTAGCTCGACGACCTGGCCTCCGGGTGCAACGTTCGCCGTCGATTGGCCTGCCGTCGAAGGCCACCCGGTCGAAGGGCCCGCCTGTCTGCTGCCACTGGCCGTGCGGTGACTCCTTGTTACGGTGGCCTATCGCTCATCTCCTCGACGATACTCCTCAGCAGCCTCCCTGTCCTCCTGCTCCTGCCCTCCCGACCCACCCACCCGCGCAGCCGCAACCCTAAACTCCTGCTGCTGCACTCCTGCCCCACCCTCCTGCGCAGCCGCCACGCCCTCCTGCTGCTGCCCTCCTGCCCCGCCCTCCTGCGCAGCCGCCTCGCCCACCACCTGCTGCTGCCCTCCGACCCCACCCTCCTGCGCACCCGCTCCGCCCTCCTGCTCCTCGACAGCCTTTGTTTCCCCTGTCGCCTGCTGCTCGATAAGCTCTACTCGCTCGTCCACCCGCTCCTCGAGCGCCACTCCGTGCTCCCCCGTACGCTCCGTTCTATGTCCGGCGCCCTCGCCGTCGTCCTCGACCGACTCATCGCTCGAGCTCGAGCCGGAGCTCGATCCCGAGCTCAAGTCCTCGTCCTGGTTCGCATCGCTGCCCGGGCTGCTCGCCCCGTGCTGAGCCTGCCTCGATGTATCCTCCTCGATCTCCTCCTCCTCCTCGACGCTGTACTCAATCACGACGCGTCCCGTCTTCTCGCCTCCTCCCTCGTGGTCGGCACCCCCTCCCACACCTGCTCCCTCCGCCAGTTGGTCGATCTTTCTCGAAAACAGCTTGACCATGAACAACGGAAGCACACCCGGGCCAGGGTTCGTTCTCCCTAGAGGCACGAGTTCGCCCTTTCGAGGCTGTAGGATGAATTCGTCCCAATTCGACAGAATCCGGCGCACCCCATGCACGACACGAGCTGCCGCGCCGTTTTCAAAGGGGCTCGACAAGGCCGTCGTCGTCTGCGACGGGTACAAAACATACGTAAGCGACAAAACACATGCTCGACGAAAATGCTGGTGGTCTAAGGAGAGCTTACCAGATGGTCGAAATCCTCGTTCAACTCTAGACGAAGGTCCATCACGTTCAACACTTCTTGGTCGTCCTCGGTCAGAGCCTGGTGGGTCATCGCGTACTCGGCGCGAAGCTGCTTCTTCATCCACCTGCGACGCAGCGGACAGAAGAGTAAGATTGTCAAGAACAGCAGCTCAACAGCAGGGTTGCAAAGCTGTCACGAAAACTTCTTGCGCCAGAGATGATTGGTGGTTCATATCGGGAAACTTGTCTTTCGAATCGAAGTGCATCATTCGAGTTCGACTGCCACGGTGCCTCGGAGCCAGCAGATCATCGAGGCGCGATACCACAAACAGGCTCGAGTGGGAGAACGAAGGCACACTCAGTCTGCATGCACAGCCAATGCACGTGAGAACGGGTTCAGGGCTAAAGACGGAGCACGCAAGGCGGCGGGAGAGGGTCGAACTCACGGTGTCCGCAGCAGAACGAAAACCACTTGCTTGCCGAGGAGGCTGTCGAGGTGGTTGTTCGCAAAAGCGACCAGGGTGGGACGGGCCATCTCTTCACGCGCACGCGCCGGAGTCATGATCGACACCTTGGGGAGCTGCTCGACGGAGAGCAGCTCATGACAGAACAGGCTGCACGGAAAGCTAAGTCAACGTCAGCGATAGGTTAACCGAAACATGGCAAACCGAAAATGTTCGACAGGACACGTACACGACGCCCGCGACCATCATGCTCTCGTCGAGCTCCCCTTTCGGCGCCTCTCTAATCGCATCCAGCTGGTCCTCGTACACCTCCACCTCGACCCCGCCTGCACTAAGGATGAGGCCGCGTCGAACCGTCGCCTCATTCATGACGGGTACGGAGTGTGAGAATGAGAACGAGAAAATTTTGTTGGACTATGAATGAAGTAGGTACAAGTACTAACCCTAATTGGGTTGTACCCCCTATGGGATACCCCACTATAGCCTACACAAAAGCATAAGCTATAATGATCTGACACACCCCCATAGGCAAAGTGGGGGAGAACAAGGGGTCACAAGACCAGTCAAGCAAAGCAAAGCAAAGCAAGCTCAGGGTGGATCACAACGTCACCACACAGTCTGAGCACAAGGTCAAGGCCACAAGGCCAGTTCACAAGCAGGAGGAGACACATATATATAAGTCTAAACAAGCAAGAGCAGATATATATATATGCAAGAGTACAAGCAAGGTCAAGAGGTGAGCAAGACACTGGAACTCCTCCTGCCTGTCCTCAAGAACGTCCGTGCCAAGGGCACACTCACCCCCGACGGACGGAGGACAGACAGACTCAGAATCAGCGACAAGACTAGCAGCGTAGTCTAGACGACAGCGAGCAGCAAAGTCGACGAGCTCGGCAACAAGAGCAGACGCAGCAGTGGACTCAAAGGAGGGGTCAGTGACGACAGTAGCAAGGAGACGCGTGACAGTAGGACTGGCAGCACGAAGAGAGTCCGACTCAGGGTCGGCAAGCGCAGGAAGAGAGGACTCAGGAGGAGAGGGCAAAGGGGCATGCAGAGGAGCAGTGGACGGACGCAGAGACATCCGGTGCGTGCCAGGGACAGGAGGAGGACGCGGACGCGAACTGCGACCACTAGTGCGAGCAGCACGAACAGGCGACACAGGACGAGACGCAGGCTCACGACGCTCAGCAAGACCTCCAGTAGGACCAGTGTAGGGAGAGGGAGAAGGCAGTGGGGAGGTCGGCGGTAACTGTGACTGCGACTGGACAGGCGGTGGACCCTCTAAGAGAGGAGGAAGACCAAGAACCTGCTGCAGGAGCGGAACGAAGTACGGCCGAGGCCGCGCAGCGGCACCAGACACAGCAGGGACAGCACCAGCACCCTCAGCACCTCCGGCAGCACCAGCGCCAACAGCACCTCCAGCGGCAGGACCTCCAGCAGCACCAGCAGCACCCGCAGCACGACCACCACCAGGACGGACAGGAGTAGTCTTAGAACCAACACCCGCAGCAGCTCCAGCTCCAGGCAGACCCGCAGGCCCAGCAGCTCCGGGACCGGCGGCACCAGCACCCTCAGTGGCCGAAGAAGCGCCAGCTCCAGCAGTACGCCTCCAGCGGCGAGCAAACCAATCACGCAGCTCCTGTGGAGAGAGTGGCTCCCGCAGAGACGAAACACCCGGAGAACCTCCAGGCCCAGTACCGCCAGACGCCACAAGGGGAGGTCCAGTGGCCGCAGGCTCCACACCTCCAGGCTCAGCAGCTCCAGACGCAGCACCCCCAGGCTTAGCACCCCCAGGCTCAGCACCCACGCGCGCAGCACCCTCAGAGTCAGCAACCCCAGGCTCAGCACCCCCAGAGGCAGCACCCCCAGGCTCCGCACCCCCAGGCTCAGCACCCCCAGACTCAGCTTCCCCAGAGTCAGCACCCCCAGGCTCAGCACCCCCAGGCGCAGCACCCCCAGCAGTACCTGAGTCACCAGCAACCTCGACCGCCTCGACTGCATCGACTTGGGACACACCTGAAGGGGCAGGACCCTGAGGGGGAAGGGGGTCTACCGGGGGGGGACCTGGCACAAGGAAGTGCGGCGGCGGCGGGAGGGAAGGAGTGCGGTAGGGGAAGAGGCGGTAGAAGGGGACGGACTCGTCGAACGTGACGTCCTGGGAGGACAGAACACGACGAGAGGAGGGGTGGTAGAACTGCCACCCTGGGGCGTCAGGGGGGAAGCCTAGGAAGACACAGGGAGGAGCACGAGGGGACAGCTTGTCCGCAGACAGGTCGCGGACAAACGCCCGAGATCCCCAGACACGGAACGCAGACGCATCGCCGACCTTCCCCGTCCACAGCAGAGCTGGGGAGGTCTCCGGCCGGGAGACCCTGGGGTGAAGGTTGAGCTGATGCGCCGCGTACCGAACCGCAAACGGCCACAGAAAATGGGGGGCAGCCGCATGCATCATGGACGTACGAGCGACATCCATGACCATGCCAATGCGGTGCTCAGCAATCCCATTTTGCTGTGGAGAGTCCGGAAGCGTAAAGGTCTGGCGGATGCCTCGTGCACGACAGTAGGCTCGCAGAAGGCCAGAGGAGAACTCTCCGCCTCGGTCAGAGTGCAGACGCAGAACAGGAAAGTCCGAGCCAAAGCTCCTCCTGAGCTGGAGACGAGCCGCGCGGATCCAGTCGATCAACACCTCAGTGACATCACCCTTGCTGCGCAAGGGGAAGACTGTGGTGTAACGCGAGTAGTCGTCAACCACTAGCAGGAAGTAGCGCTCGTGACCCTGTCCCCGGACGCGGGCCGGGCCCCACACGTCCATGTGAAGCGTCTGCAGAGGAGCCTCTGTCGGGGGAAACTGGGAGGAGTGAGGGGCAGCCCGGAGCCGCCCCTCGACACAGGGGACACAGGAAGGTCCTGGCCCCGAAGGAAGGGGAGGGAGAGACCGGGGGAGACCAGAGACAAGGACACGGGAAGCCATGCCCCGAAGACGAGGTAAGGAGGGGTGGCCAAGACGGTGGTGCCACAAGAAAGTCTCGTGAGACAGGAGGCGACACGAGCAGGGGGCAGACTCAGGACCAGACCTGGACGCAGCAGCAAACACCTGACCCGACGCAGCTACGTGGCCAGACGCAGGGACTGGAGGAGACTCAATGGTCAGGGTGTAGAGACTCGACCCGGGCCGACGCGAAAACGTGGCTAGGTGTCGGCCTGTGCGGGCGTCCGAGCAGTGGGTCCCTCGCTGACTCGCAGGAGTAAACTGGTGAACCCCCGCATCCTGCAGGTCAGCACCACTCACCAAGTTCGTCGAGAACGAGGGGAGGTACAGACCCGACAGGGTGCCCGAGGGGGCAGCCGGACACGGGAGGACAGTGGAGAAGTGAGCGAGGACAGGACCCCTAGAGGGGTCAGCCAGGGAGACTGCAACCGGCCGACCAAGCGGCGTGAGTATGGTGCGGTCTCGAAAGAAGGAGCGAGAAGCCCCTGAGTCAAGTGTGAAGGTGAGGGAGGCCGAAGCCGACGCAGTACCTGAGAGCGCAGCCTCACTAGTACCTGAGAGCGCAGCCTCACTAGCACCTGAGAGCGCAGACGCACTGGCACCTAGAGCAGTAGCCTCACAAGCACCTAGCGCAGCAGTACCAATGCCCGGGTCGGGCGGGAAACACCGGTAACAGTCACCCTCATCACTAATAGTCACAGCATACATGGCAGCAAGGATAGCATCAAAGTCAAGATCAAAGATAGCCACGCCAGCCCTAGACAGCTCTCCCCAGCGGGGGATCTCCGTGGCCTCCGGAAACTGCTGACGCCAAGCGTCCGTCAGGCGGCCAAAACAGCGCTGGGTGGGGTGGGCACCCCCACACTGCTCACCCGCGCGGTCGCCGGTGCGAAGGACGTAGCGCAGGGACCAAGTCCCCCTCCACGCTGACGCTGCGTGTACCACTCACGGAGCTGCTGAGGGGTGGGGACGTCGCGAGAACGCTGCTGCTGCTGCTGCTGGCGCTGACCACCCCCAGTGCCGCTCCGTTGTGAAGTGCCACTCCGACCACCTCCACCACCTCCTCCTCCACCTCCTCCACCTCCGCCACCGCCGCCACCCCCGCCGGTACCACCGCCCCCGACGCCGCCTCCGCCACCACTGCTGCCACTAGCACCCCCACCCCCGCCACCTCCTCCACCGCCACCCCCACTCCCTCCGCCGCCTCCACCTCCACCGCCACCGCCCCCGCTAGCCCCACCCGCTCCCTTGCCCCCTTTGCCTTTGCCAGGGCGACGTCTCCCGCTAGGGGCAGACGCCGCAC